TCCGTGGATCGGTGCTCCTCAGGCCCCCCAGGTTATGAGCGGCTGCCCCGTCATACCCGGGGGGTCAGCATGCCGGCCCCGTCACCCCGACGGCCGGTGCTTCAGTAGGGTATGGAGGGGAAAGGGGAAGGAGGGACTTGGGAGAGAGAAGACTATGGTTAATTGTGGTTTTCTTTACAACTTTGTTCATAATTCCTAATGTGCTAGGGGGTCCCTAGTTCCCTGCGTGCCTGGCCCCCCCGTAGGGCTGCCCGCGGCCGGCTCACCACGTCTTATCGAGGGACTCCATGTCCACGTGTCCTTTTATCCTTGTCGCCATCCACTCCGTCCGTTCACTCTGCTTGCCAAAATCCAACCGTCCACTCTGATGGTCAAAACTAACTCCGCACTCCGATGGTAATTAAATCTAACTCCACGATCGGCGAACAGCGAAGGCCGTAGTCGCTGAAGCCCTCGCTGCTGCCGTCGACTGCGGCAGTGGCCCTTACGCTGCTCACGTGCAGGCTATAGGCGTCCTCTTTCGTCTGCCGCCTCCCGCACCCGCGTCTCTTACGCGATCGTGCGTTCCTCTTCTTTTCCGTGTCTCTCCGGACCCGGCCGTCGGTTCTGCCGAGGGCTCAAGTTTGGAGAGATGGAGATGTTGCTGGCGTGGTTGTGGATGTTGCTGACGTGGATGTTGCTGACGTGGATGTTGCTGACGTGGATGTTGCTGATGTGCGTGTTGCTGATGTGCGTGTTGCTGATGTGCGTGTTGCTGATGCGCGTGTTGCTGAATGTGGTTTTGCGTGTTGCTGATGTGGTTTTGCGTGTTGATGATGTGATCCTCGGCGTGGCCGGGGATGTGGCCCGTACTGGGGCGCACCACACCCCAACTCAAAAGTGATTGTCCCCTCGGGGTCTAACTAAGGGAAAGCGGGATGCCCTTCATGGGCCTTAATATTACAAAGGGGTGCCCTCCGTGGGTCTTGGTCGTCCTTACCCTAAACCTTATAGTTCTACCTTATACTCTACCTTGTAAATTACGCCTAACTACTATGTACATGAGGGGGAGGGGGCCCTTGTGAGGGTTACCTCACACCCCCATCCCTTCCTCGGGGGTGCGGGAAGACCTTTACCCGGCCGCTGGTCGAGATCTGGATGCGATAGCGGATGCCGGCTACCTCCTCCAGGTAGCGCACCTCCCGGCGTCTCGGCTGGCGCAGATGCCCCGTCTATACTACGCAGGAGGGCGATGGGTGCCCACCCGTCTTCGGTAACCCATCCGTCGAGGGCGCGGACCTGGGCGTTTGGAGGCAGGGGATCCACCGGGGGAAGCTCCTCCTCGGAGTCGGCGTCCTCCCTCGTCTTCCTCGGCGTCCTCTCTAATTCCTCGTCAGTACTGGCCTCCTCCATGGGCCATGGGGCCGGTCGGCGGAGGATGCCCTGGGGCGGCCGACTGGTTCGCCTTCGGGGTTGGCCAAAGGCTGGCGGCCGCCAGCGCTGCTGGTCGGTGGCCGGCATAGGCCTCACCCGCCGGCAGCTACGGCTGCAGTGGCCGCGGTGCCGTCAGGCGGCGTCGGGGCGCGCGCCATGGCGGCGGCGTCCGGTTGGGCGGCCGCTTGGGTGGCGGCGTCTAGTTGAGCCATGGCGGCCGGCGGGATGCCGGCGGCCGATCCGGCGGCTGCGTCGGGTTGAACAGTGGCGGCCGGCGATGCCGGCGGCCGATCCGGCGGCTGCGTCGGATTGAGCAGTGGCAGCCGGTGGGATGCCGGCGGCTGCGTCGGGTGAGCAGTGGCGGCCGGTGGGATGCCGGCGGCCGATCCGGCGGCTGCGTCGGATTGAGCAGTGGCGGCCGGTGGGATGCCGGCGGTCGATCCAGCGGCTGCGTCGGGTTGAGCAGTGGCTTCCGCCGTGGGGATCGTGGCCATTATTGTTCGGACCGCGGCCCACGGACTGCCTCCCGCTGCTGGGATGCGGCGGACGTGGTGGGTCCGTCGGGGACGCGGCCAGCTTCCCCAGCAGGAGCGCGAGCAAGTCATCCCCCGTGGGGGTGCTGGCTCCTGCCCGGACGGTTTGCCGCGTCGGCGGTGTCGTCGGCGGCGGTGAGCGTGGGCGTGGCCTGCTCCTTGGCGTCGGTGGCACTGGGTGCGGGCCTGGGTGTGCCCGTGGCAGCGGCGCCGGTGGCCCGCACCGCCATGGGTGGCAGCGGTGCTGACCCCGGCTGATGCTGGAGGGTCGGGCTCCGGGTGCGGGCCCGGCCCGAAAGCTCCTCGTATGAGGGCGGTGGTGTTTCTCGGTGGGGCGGTACCCGCGGCACGGTCTCCTCCTCGTCGAGAAGGACAACTGTGTCCATCGCCGCGCCCCCGTGGCTCGTCGTCGTCCGAGCTGAGAGTCACCACCTCAGCATCGGAGACCTCCTCATAAATTGCGCCCAGCGGGGCCCACGGGGGTCGGCGAGGCGGGGGACCGAGGGATGGCTGGGTCCGGCTCTTCTTCTGCCTCAAAAATAGAGGCCACCACGTCCTCGTAGGTCAGCCCTTCGCACCATGTGGGGCTGATCGCGGGCGACGGCTGGGCGTCGCTGTCGGCGGTGGTCGCTGGTGGGGTGGATCCGGTGGCATCGGGCGCGGCCGATGGCGGACGCGGTGGGCGCCCCGTGTCGGCGGCGACCGTGCTTGCCGGCGTCGGTGGCCGCGAGTTGCGCCTGGGGCTGGTGGCGTTGGCTGCCAGGTGCAGTCCCTCTAATGCGGGCATCGTCGTGGCGGAAGCCGCGGTGTTTGGGCGCTCACCTGGGTCCTGATTAGCCGGGCGATCGCGGCGGTGGCGATGGTGGCGATGGCGGCGACGTGGTTCGTCCTCTGAATGGCGCGAATGGCGGCGCTGCGAATTCGTGTTCCTATCTCTCGGCATGTTTTTTAGCTTTGCGTCCTCACAATTTGTAGGTTTGAACGCGTGGGTCTGCAGAGCGAAGATCGCGCTATCTTTATCGATATCCGATAGCGCGCTGCCCGTACGTATCGAAGTTGCTTTTCGGTCGATCTGGCAATTCCAATAACGAATATTTGGGATCTATGAAAATAAACAAACGTATTAGTAGAGTCCACCCCCTCTTTTAGCCTGCTTGAGGGTGGCGCCTATCCTAAGCTCCTGCGCTCCTATAGCTCCTTAGGATCAGAGCCGATGCCAGAGTGGAGGCTTCTGGACTGATCACGGGCGTCGTGGTCGTCGTGGTCGTCATGGGCTGCGGTGATGCTGAGGCTATCCTCGTTCTGATGTTCGTCGTCGTCCGCGTTGCTTTGGTGATATGCTTTAGGTTGTTTATGCTGGCCGTGCGGCGACGGCGGCTCCCGATATCTTGCAGCCGGACGATGTTCGGCGAGAGGAACTTGATCACTCGGAACGGGCCTTCATATTTCGCAGCCAGTTTGGCCGCGAAGCCCTCGGCGGCGTTTGATAGCACATGATGGCGGGCGAGAACGAGGGAGCCCAATGGTGGCTTCCACTCCCGTCGTCGTAAATTGTAGTGCCGGCCTTGCTCGGCCGTGGCACGTTCGGCGTTGTCGCGGGCCACTTTAAATCTGCCTGTGCAGCTGCTCGGCTCCTCTCCGCTGGGGAATCAGGGCGGTTCCTCGTCCCGGGGTGACTTCGTCGTAAAGTGCATTGGGTAGGCGTGGTTTCCCGGCCTTGTACCAGAAAGGCGGGGCTGAATCCCGTTGTGTCCGACACGCTACCGTTGACGGCCAGCGAGATTTCTGGCAGGAGTTGATCCCAGGTGTTCTGCGGCGCGTCGCCAGGGTATTGCGCGATCATGGTTTTCACGGTCCTGTTGGCCCTCTCCGTAGGATTTTGACGGGGCGTGTAGGGGCGCAGTATGCTGCAGTTCCATTCCTAGTGATTTGCAAAATGTCCGGAAATCCCGGCTGGTGAACTGAGTTCCGTTGTCACAGACCAGAGTCTTCGGGACTCCGAATCGACTCAGGATCCGTTCTCTAAACGCTCGTTCGAGATATGGTACCGTGGCTCGTCGCAGTGGGACGAGTTCCACCCACTTGCTGAATGAGTCGAGGAACACCAATAGGACTGTGTTCCCTAAGCTTGGATCGTGGGAGGGGTCCAACGAAGTTCGCACATAGTATGTGGATAGGTTCGTCGACCTGGCGGGTGAACATTTTCCCGGCCGGTTTTCTTGGCTTACCTTAAACTTCTGACAGCTTGTGCATCGGCGTACGTATTTGGCCACTTCTCGAAATAATCCGGGCCAGTAGTACTTCTGGGCGACTCGTGTGCTTGTCTTCCGCACGCCCAGGTGGCCTGCGGTGGGGTGGTCGTGGCATTCCGTCAGCACTCTTGCGCGGTCGTTAGTGCCCACGCATAGTTTCCAGGGGTGTATTCCTCATCCTCCGGGCGCAGCCCGATGCGTCTGTAAAGTTGCCCGTTCTCCTCTCGAAAGTCTGGATACTTGGCCGGCTCCTGTCGGGTCCTGTGTAGCATTTTCGCGATCCACTTACAGTTGATGTCCTGAACTTGTGCCTGCTGCATGGTGGCCAGTGGCTGGCGCGATAGTGCATCCGCGACCAGATTCTGGGTTCCGCGTCGGTATGTCACGTCATACTGGAACTGCTGCAACTCCAATGCCCACCGAGCGATCCTGCCCGTGGGGTTGTCGATGGAGTTCAACCACTTTAGCGAGTGGTGGTCGGTCAGCACCTCGAAACGGTATCCTTCGAGATAGCAGCGCATCTTACGGATGGCCCATACTATAGCGAGGCATTCCTTTTCCGTAACAGAATAGTTGCGCTCGGCGGTGTTTAGCCGGCGGCTAGCGTAAGCGATTACGCGCTCCTGTTGGTCGATAGTCTGGGTGAGTACGGCTCCCACGCCGTATTCGCTTGCGTCGGTTTGGAGTACAAATTTCTCTTCGAAATCTGGGCACGCCAGAATTGGTGCCTCTGTGAGCAGGTCCTTCAACTTCTGGAACGCCTGTTTCTGCTTCTCGGTCCATCCCCAGCTTTGATCCTTCTTGAGTAGCGAGGTCATTGGTTCGACCACGTCCGCGAAGTTTGGCACAAAGCGTCTGTACCAAGACGCTATGCCGAGGCATCGGCGAAGCTCCTTCAGGTTCGTGGGTGGGGTCAGTTCCCGGATGGCAGCGACCTTGTCGGGGTCGGTCTGTATCCCGGCCTCGCTGATTACATGGCCAAGATATTTTATGCTCCGCTGGAAAAACTGGCACTTGTCTCGGTTGAGGCGGAGATTGGCCTCTCGAAGCCGTCGAAATACCTCGCGTAGATTCCGCACGTGCTCGGAGAGAGTGGCGCCGACGACGATGATGTCGTCCAAGTAGGCGAAAGCGTGTGGTTCCATGTCGGGGCCGATGACGGTGTCCAGCGCCCGTTGGAATGTGGCCGGCGCCGAGTGAAGCCCGAAAGGCATCACCTTCCAGTGAAATAGTCCGCGGCCCGGGACGGTGTATGCGGTGCATTCGCGGCTGTCCGGGGCGACTGGGATCTGCCAGTACCCGTTCTTCAGGTCCAACGTCGATATATAGCGGGCGTTTCGCAGCCGCTCCAAGATGTGGTGGATCCGCGGCAGCGGATAAGCGTCGGGGATCGAGTTCTCGTTTAGCTGTCTGTAGTCGATGCACATCCTGGCCTCTCCATTCTTCTTTGCCGCGATGACTATCGGCGCGCTATGGGGGCTCTTGGAAGGCTCTATGCGTCCATCGCGGATAAGCTCGTCGATCTGTTGGTCGATGACGGCCCTCATCGCGGGATTCCGTGGATGATAGCGTTGCTTAATAGGGCGATCGTGGCGCATCACGATCTTGTGCTCGGCGATGTGGGAGACGTTGGCGATGCTGTTGAAGCGGGACAGTTTTCGTTCGAGAAACTCCCTGATCCAGGGCTCCGGGTAGTTGTCCTCGTGGCCTCTGGCTCTCGGTTCCTCCTCGATGTCGTAGTCAGCGTCAGCGATACCGCAGGATGGAGGTGGTGGTTCCAAATCGCTGAAGCGGACCCTCTTGGCCCCTTTGCGAAATGGGTTTCGCTGAACCGCTACTGGATCAGGCGGAGGTAGCGCTCCGGCCCAGCTTGGGACCGTGCGCACGTTGGGGTGCCTGGCGCTGCGTGGCGCGTCAGGGCGTTGCGGTGAGTGCCCCTGGGTGGCTGATGAGTCTGCCCGAGGGTGCGCCTGTGTGGCGGCTTGTGCCGTCGTCCGTGGGGCGGCTTGTGTTTGCGCCGGTGTGGCGGCTTGAGTTTGCGCCTGCGTGGCGGCTGAGGGGTGCGCCTGCGTTGCGACGGCTGATGCGTGTGCCCGTGGGGCGGCTGGTGTTTGCGCCCGTGTGGCGGCTTGGGGTTGCGCCCGTGTGGCGGCTTCAGTGTGCGCCCGTGTGGCGGCTTGTGTTTGCGCCTTGGTGGCGGCTTCGGTGTGCGCCCGTGTGGCGGCTTTGGAGTGCGCCCGTGTGGCGGCGTCGATGTGCGCTCGTGGAGCGGCTTTGGAGTGCGCCTGGGTGGCGGCTTCGGGGTGCACCTGTGTGGCGGCTTGTTTTTGCGCTCGTGGAGCGGCTTGAACCTGCGCCTGAGTGGCGGCTTGTTTTTGCGCTCGTGGAGCGGCTTTGGAGTGCGCCTGGGTGGCGGCTTCGATGTGCGCCTGTGTGGCGGCTTTGGAGTGCACCTGGATGCCGGGTGTATGCGCCGGCGTGGTGGCACGTTTGTGCGCCCGTGGGGCGGCTTGTGTTTGCGCCTGGGTGGCGGCTGAGGAATGCGCCTGCGTGGCGGCTTCGATGTGCGCCTGGGTGCCGGGTGTACGCCGGCGTGGCGGCACGTTTGTGCGCCCGTGGGGCGGCTTGTGTTTGCGCCTGGATGGCGGCTTCGGGGTGCGCCTGGGTGGCGGCTTGGGGCTGCGCCTGTGTTGCGGCGGCCGGTGAGTGCGCCTGGGTGGCGGCTTCGATGTGCGCTCGTGGAGCGGCTTGTTTGCTCCCGGTTGGTGTCGGCGAGCTGGTCCTCGTGGGTTGGTCAGGAATGGGTGGCTCGAGTTGGAGGGTCAAGCCCCCACACTGTAGTGTGGCTCCTCCGTAACACAGGAAATCCATCCCGAGTAGAAGGTCGTCCAGCACATCCGCCATGATGAGGGCGGAGACGCTGACCCGAGCCTTTCCCAGCTGGATCGTGATTCGCAGGGCCTGCGTGAGCTCCCTGCCGGTTCCGTCTGCTAACTTCACCCGCGTTCGCACGGCACGATGGTTCTTCCCGTCGTGGAGTGCCCTTGCCAGGCGCTCGCTTATAAAGCTATGCGAGGCCCCCGTATCCAAGGTGGCGGTGAGTGGTCGTCCCTCGACCGTGACCTGTGCGCGGATACGGTTCCGATCCTGTTGGATGGCGTTGGTTACTGGGTGTGGGAGTTCGGTGGGTTCCTCGAGTGGCTCCCTGATACTCGAGGCCCTTGCCCGTTTCCCGGCGTCTGGTTCCTGCAGCACTCGATAGTGCGTATGCCTTGGCGACCGCAGTCCCAGCAGAACATGGTCCTCTGGTTCCGGCATTCCGTGGCGTAGTGACCAGCCTGGCCGCAGTTTCGGCAGGTGGTGCGGGGGTCGGTTGACCTGGTGGGCGTGGCCCCTTGGGTGGAGTTTCCTCCGGTGCCTCGGCTGGCGGCGTCGTTGGTCGCGTTCCCAGGGCGTGGCACCTGCGGTGTGTGAACAGGGTTCGCCCTAGGTCGTGCGTTCCTGCTGTGGGGTGGATACTCGGCGTCTGCGTTTGCCGACGGGTATCCACGGACGGGTCGGCCTCCGCGGCTGCGGGCGACTTCGTAGTTGACCACCAAATGTGTGAGCTCGGTCAACGTCTTGAAATCCTGGCGGCGGGTAAACAACTGGTACTCGGGCAGCATGTTCTCGTAGACTCGTTCTAATTCCTGCTCCGGCGAGAATCCAGCGCGGCGCATCTGGAGACGAAGATCCACCAGGTACTCCTTGAACGGCTCGTTCACTTTCTGGAAGTGAGTGCGGATTTCGTCGTCGAGGCGTTGGTAGTACCGGGGCGGCAGGAAAAATTCCAAGAATTCCCGGCGGACTTCGGTCCAGGTGCGTCCCTGCAGATCACTGGTTCGGAACCAGCTCTCCGCCCGGCCAGTCAGGAGGACGGTGATAGCGTGCGACAAATACTTCCGGTCGATCCGGTAGGTATCCGCTCGTTCTTCGATATGCTCCACGAAGCTGAGCGGATCGGAAGTGCCGTCGAAAGACAATCCCCATTTGGTCGCCTTGTCGACCACCATCGCGTAGACGCCTGTGTCGGACTGGGATGCACTGGCGCGTGCGGTGCCCTCCGATTTTCCTCGCGTCCCTGGGGACGGGGAAGTGCTGCGTGGTACAGCCAGCGTGTGGTTGCTGCTGGGTACCTTCTCCTGGTAGGGGGTATCGGCGACGGTGGTTTGATGTCTCCGGAAGGGGTGTACTTGCGTTCCAACTCCCCAAGCCGGATCAGAGTGTCCTCGGAGTGCTCCGGTTGCCTGGCGAACGCGTACAGTCGGGCTCGCTGTTCCTCGTCCGTGCCGTTCTGCTCCAGACCGAGGTCGAGAAGAATAGCCTCGAGCTCGTGCTTCTTCCTGTATGAGATCCAAGAAATTCCCATGTTGCTTGATGTGTGTCCTGTGTCCTTGTAGTCCTGTGTATCCTTGATTGTCCTGGCTATGGTGCAGGAGCGGCGATGTGTATCCTTGAGTATCCTTGAGAGGATGTGTATCCTTGATGTCCTTGGCGTGGTGTGTATCCTTGTGGTCCTTGAGTGATCCGGCGGATCGATGTGTCCTCTTATAGCTCTGATGATCGACTGTTCTCTTGTAGCTCTGATGATCGACTGTTGTCGATGTGTGTCGGCTGGCGACCTATATACTTCTCGGCTTTGCCGGCGTCGGGCGTCCCATTTTGTGAAGGGACCAGTAGTGCGCAAGGGAACTAAATTTTCCTAATCGCGTGGTTGCCGGCTGCGGCGTCCACGTGGCTTAAATTTGGCGACTCTCTTTCTCTCCATCTCTCCTTCTATCTGTTCTCTCCCGTATGGCTGTACTTTTCTGCCGCGTGCTACGACATTTCTCTCTCTCTCGTAATTTTTTTCCCTATTCCTTTTCTTTCCGTCCAAAAAACGTGTTTTCCCTAACTTTCGTCCCTAACCTCAGATTTTTACCTAATTTCGACCCTATTTTTCTTCTGGTGGGTTTTTATGCCACGAAGGATTAAAATGTCCTTACGATATCCTGTCTAGTCCCTGCTCGGGCGCCATCTGTAAGGATGCTAATCACGGGCCAGGATAAATACTCAGTCTATCCAGGGTCCCCTACAGAAATAATTTATATTTACGGAGACAGACAGGACAAGGAGGCGGGTTCCCTAATTGGGCGTGGGTTTGAGGGGGGAAAGTTTGGGTTGCGTGCCGTGGTTATGCCGTCGGCCCGTCACCCGGGCGGCCGGCGGACCAGGGCAGGCCCAGGGCGACCGATCCCGTCACCCGTGGATCGGCTTATCCGGCCCCGTCAACCGGGTGCCGGAGCCCTGTTAGGGGGCGGAGGGTTACGAGCCGTCGATCCCGTCACCCGGGAGTCGACTTGCCAGCCCCGTCACCCGGGTGCTGGTGCTCAAGGAAAGGATGTAGTGAGCGACTGATCCCGTCACCCGTGGATCAGTATGCCGGCCCCGTCACCCGACGGCCGGTGCTCGAACTACGAGGGAGGGGGGTTTTGAGCGACCGATCCCGTCATCCGTGGATCGGTGCTCCTCAGTACAGGTTATGAGCGGCTGCCCCCGTCACCCGGGGGTCAGCATGCCGGCCCCGTCACCCGACGGCCGGTGCTCCTGGATACGGGATTTGAGCGGCTGCTCCCGTCACCCGGGAGTCAGCATGCCGGCCCCGTCACCCGACGGCCGGTGCTCATAGGTATGGAGGGGAAAGGGGAAGGAGGACTTGGGAGAGAGAAGACTATGGTTAATTGTGGTTTTCTTACAACTTTATTCATAATTCCTTAATGCCTGAGGGTCCCTAGTTCCCTGCGCACGTGCTGGCCACCCCGTAGGGCTGGCCCGCGGCCGGCTCACCCGTCTTATCGGAGGGACTCCATGTCCACGTGTCCTTTTATCCTTGTCGCCATCCACTCACGTCCGTTCACTCTGCTTGCCAAAATCCAACCGTCCACTCTGATGGTCAAAAACTAACTCCGTTCACTCCGATGGTCAAAATCTAACTCCACGATCGGCGAACAGCGAAGGCTGCTCGAAGCCCTCGCTGCTGCCGTCGACTGCGGCAGCGGCCCTTACGCTGCTTTCGTGCAGGCTATAGGCGTCCTCTTTCGTCTGCCGCCTCCCGCACCCGCGTCTCTTACGCGATCGTGCGTTCCTCTTCTTTTCCGTGTCTCTCCGGACCCGGCCGTCGGTTCTGCCGAGGGCTCAAGTTTGGAGAGATGGAGATGTTGCTGGCGTGGTTGTGGATGTTGCTGACGTGGATGTTGCTGACGTGGATGTTGCTGACGTGGATGTTGCTGATGTGCGTGTTGCTGATGTGCGTGTTGCTGATGTGCGTGTTGCTGATGTGCGTGTTGCTGATGCGCGTGTTGCTGAATGTGGTTTTGCGTGTTGCTGATGTGGTTTTGCGTGTTGATGATGTGATCCTCGGCGTGGCCGGGGATGTGGCCCGTACTGGGGCGCACCACACCCCAACTCAAAAGTGATTGTCCCCTCGGGGTCTAACTGAGGGAAAGCGGGATGCCCTTCATGGGCCTTAATATTACAAAAGGGGTGCCCTCCGTGGGTCTTGGTCGTCCTTACCCTAAACCTTATAGTTCTACCTTATACTCTACCTTATAAATTACGCCTAACTACTATGTACATGAGGGGGAGGGGGGGGGGGGGGCCCTTGTGAGGGTTACCTCACAAGGTTATACATAAATATTACTTTGTAAAGTATGATAAAGATTGTTTTAAATATAACAAAAACTCCATGAGCTCCATTTCTTTTTGTTCCAAATGAAAAAGGAATTTATTCTGCGACGTTTCAAATTTTTCGATGTCAATTTAATCGGAAAGGCCCAGTTGGCTTCTCAGAGCGATAAATCTTGCAGATGGTAATGGCTTCGTCAATATGTCGGCTAGTTGGAGATCTGTGGGAATATACTTTAGACAAATTAGTTTCTTTTCAATTTGTTCCCTCGTAAAATGATATTTAATGTCTATGTGCTTTGTTCTCTTATGGCAAGTAGGATTATTGGCAATGCTGATACAACCTTGGTTGTCTTCAAAAATATCTATAGGACCATTTAATTCTAGATTAATCTCATTTATTAATGACTTGAGCCAAAGGGCTTCTCTAACACCTTCAAACAAGGCCATATATTCTGCTTCGGTAGAAGAAGCAGCAACCGATTTTTGCTTCATGGTACTCCATGAAATTAAGCAGCTTTCAAACATTTTAAAAAGATATCCAGTAGTACTTCTTCTGTCAGTTTCGTTCCCAGCCCAATCAGAATCTACATATCCTATAAGAATGTTATTAAAATTTATATTTTTCTTGAATCTGAGCTTTAGATCAACAGTTCCTTTTAAATATCTAAGAACTCTTTTAAGGCATTGCCATAGTTCCTTATTGTTGTTGTTTGTGTATCGACTTAAAATACTTATTGAAGTACTTAAGTCTGGGCGTGTGCACAACATAATGTACATCAAACAACCAATCAAGTTTCTACATGGTGCATCACATGATTCTTCCGATTGCAGAGCCTCATAGTCTAACTTGCTTTGGAGGGGAGTACTAACTGTATTGCAATCTTCCATATTAAATTTTCTCAATACATTTTGAATATATGCTGACTGACTGAGACATATCTGTCCGTCAGTTCTATCAATTTTTATACCAATAAAATGCCGGATTTCACGTAAATCAGTCATTTGAAATTTATCTTGAAGGTAAGATTTAAAATTGGACATTGTATCAGATTTGCTTGTAGCAATTACTACATCATCCACATATAACAAAATATATATATTTCTTGAAATATCTCCCTTATTTAAAATATAAATACAACGGTCAACTCCTATATTTTCAAATCCAACTTCTTTCAATACGCTTTCAAACGCCTCGAACCAGCATCTAGCAGCTTGCTTAAGGCCATATATAGCTTTATTAAGTTTACACACTTTATTCCCGTAGCATTGGGTCAAGCCTTTTAGAACAGTCATGTATATTTCATCGTTTAGAGTTCCATTTAAAAATGCGGTTTTGACATCCATGTGATGAATCATTAAATTATATTGATTTGAAAGTGCCAATAGAAATCTGAAACTTGAAATTCGTGCAACTGGTGCAAATGTCTCGTCATAATCAGTCATATACTCTTGAGTAAAACCCTGCGCTACAAGCCTTGCTTTATACTTTACTAAGTTACCAAACTCATCTTGTTTTATACTAAACTAGAGGTCCTGTGCCCGCTTCGCTGGTCAACACAATTTAACAACATAATAGTCAATGTTGCACGTCCAATTCCTATTCGTCTAACAGCAGGCATTATTTCAAATTGTTTAAGCTCGCTCTATTTTTTGTTTAAATATTTTTTTACCGACTTCATCGATACACAAAATCAACGCAGCTATGATCTTTTTTTTTACATACAACATTGTGTACATCTGTTGAGCCGCTAGCGACTTTTCCAGAAGGTTTTCCCAAAATTTTCTTATGCTTAAACCTTCTTCTGGTTCTAAGCTATCTCCCTACCAATTTTCAGCCAAATCGGTCAAGCCGTTTTCATGTGATGCGATTGCGCACATATTTTGTCTCCATTTTTATATATATAGATACCCACTTGCAATGAACTATGTTTTTGTTATTTGGCCTTTGCACTAAGGACCAAGTATTGTTTTGAAAATGGGAGTTAAGTTCATCCTGTATAGCTTTCTCCCAGAAAGATCTGTCTTCACGAAACTTAATTTCATCAAATGTATTAGGAATATCATTTAAGCATGTTTGAGTATTCATAAGACATTTTTCTAAAAATCGATATGATAATTTTGGTTTACTTTTAATTCTTTCACTGCGTCTGATTTCTTCCTTATTTTTGTTTTTATTTTCATTTGATTTATCACCAGTTTAAACAACTGGATCGGCATTCTCGAGATCTGTGGAATTTTCATTGAGTTGTTCATTTACTTCAGAATCAACAGATTCAATATTTTCCACCGAAGGAAAATCCAACTCTTCTTTCTCTCTATTTAAAGAGTCATTATTTGGTTCAACAGTATTACCTTGAACCACAGAGTCTTCTCCATGTAAAACTCTAAATTTTAACATATTTATCTCATCCACCACAACATCTCTAGCTGTCATAAATTATTCCTCATTCCACAATTTATACCCATTTGGTTCATACCCGACAAGTATAGTTTTAATTGACTTTTCGTCAAACTTTCGCTTTCGAACTTTGTTTAGTGCATATACTGTCGAACCAAATATCTATAAATATTTTAATACAGGCTTTTTGTTATGCCACATCTCAAATGGTGTTTTATTTATATTTTGCAATGCTCTACTTGGGGATCTGTTAATTAAGTATGTTGCTGTTAAAACAGCTTCACCCCAAAAATATTTATTGATTT